CTGGAAATCCAGAAAGAGGAAGATCTGCAGTTGTTGCGTGAAGTGGCTGCTCACATGTTCAGTGATGGAGTAACAAACTGGGGTCGAGTGGTGACGCTCATCTCGTTTGGTGCCTTTGTTGCGAAACACTTGAAAAGCATACACCAGGAGAAGTGCATCAGCTCGCTGGCAGGGATCATCACGGATGCGCTCGTCTCATCGAAGCGCGAGTGGCTAACGAGCCAAGGAGGCTGGGTGAGTCACTGCCTGTCCCGAACGCTGCGAGCTTTTCAGAGCAATCCAGTATTTTCCTATTTCGGTGACCTGCTCACTGACAACTATGTATGTCAGCAAAGCACAGAGATGACTCACTGCTCCAGTTAAAACCACAGTCTGAAACATCTAGCTGTTCTGCTGTTTCAGGAGCTCCTTACAATGAGCTGCCTGAAGCAGTCTTGACCTAAAAAACATACCCCTGCCCAGCATGGATTGGGCAGCATTCCCAAAGCCATCAATCCCAGGTGCGCTGAGCTTGCTTGAAGCTGGTCCGCAGCTGCTTTGGTGCTGTCTCTGGATCGCCGCCGCCTCTGTGGGGCGGGCAGTGAGGAGTCTGGCGGAGTGTGCTCGGCAGATGTGCTGGGCAGGCTGTACCCCAGCCCACTCTGCCAGGGAAAAAGGTTTTCCGGGCCTTCCTGCCAAAGAAGGGTGCTGGCGGGGGAATGACTTTCCCTTCTTTCTCCTAGGAGGGCTTTGTTGACTTCTTTCGAGTCGAGGACCTAGAAGGCAGCATCAGAACCGTACTCATGGCGTTTGCAGGCATGGCTGGACTGGGGGCAAGCTTGGCTTACATGATCCGGTGAGCCAGGGTATGCTGCAGAGGGACAAAACTCTGGGTGGACCAGCTCTGTTTGGGGCTGGCGAGCTGATCACTTCCTCCTGTGAGTACTTATGATGCTGGACTTGAGTGACCCAAGGAGAATACCTAGACATCCCCTGAGCAATTGTTTGCTAAGAAGGAAGGTGTGATCCAGTCAGATTATGGGTCCCGATAAGGATTTATTGCTTTGGGAGCAGAAAGTGGAAGAATTTATATTCTGCCTACTTCAAGAGGATGATTACAGAAAGCTCAAGTGGACTGCTTCAGTTTTATCCTGGAGGGAACCGATCTGCTTAGCAGCAAGTCAGTGAGCACCAGCGGCTCTTGTCTGGACTGAAGCCTCCTGGGCTTGGCACGGCAGCTGTGTGTGGAGCAGATGTTTCAGGGTTGTGGTTGTGGGTTTCTGGAAATAGCATCTTTGGCTGCTGGTGTCCTGTCTAAACTTGAGGCTTCTCTGTTGGAGCAGAAGTATCAAACGCTGGGCGTCGTGCAAGCCTGCGCCTGCCCCCAGGTGTGCTGGCAAGCGGGCCTTCGGCCACTGCTGGCTATGCACGCATCCGCCCTCCAGAAGCGGTAGAGCCGTGCCAGCAGCCAAGATGTGCAGCCCGCTGCCAGAACGTGAGGTGCTGGAGCCCTGCGTGGCCCCGCAGCCCCCCCAGCAGGGCTTCAGCCAGGTCACTGAGCAGGCAGAGGAGCGGCGGAGGCGGGGAGGGCGCTGAGGCAGGGCTCGGGGCAGTAACCACAGCCAGCTGTGGCACAGCCGCCTTGGCCTGGCTGGCTGGTCTTGGCTACACCGATGTGACTCACCAAGCACAGACAGTTTAAAAATAGGGAGCGCATTTGTTAGCATGTAAAAGCCTACACGGACTGTAGAGAACCCCTGTGTACATGTATAAGAATGTGTGCGTTTGTACAGAGCTAATGATACAAAAAGGGGGAATCTTGAGAACGTAGTAGAACTGCTTATGGGTGCGCTGTACTTCATTCCTCATGTGCAGTAGCATTTTTGTGGTGAAGCCTTCTCCTGCCTTGACTCCAAGTGAGCCTTTCTCTGATGTACTTGAGCAGCATTGCCAGGGAGCGTGGCAGGGATCACTGGCTTTGTGGGCTCTCACTGGTCGCGCGG